CCCCCACTGTGGTCCTTCCGCCTCCCCGGCCCCTTGCTCCGCCCCACCGCGGGTCCCCCGTTCCAGGCCTTGCCTAGATCCCCACACCGAGCCTTTGCTTCGCTCCTCTCCGGGCCTCCCTGACCAGAACCCGTGAGGGGATCCTGCCCTGCACCCCGCGGTCCGCCCTCCTCACCCCCATTTCTGAGCACTAACCGAAGCCCCGCGCCCAGCCTGCTGCTCCCTCCATGGCTTCCCCCTGACCCGCACCGTGCCCCTTGCTTCCCTGCGCCAGGCCCTTCCCCTCACCTGTGCCCAGCCTGCAGCGCATCCATCGCAGCTCCCCTGTATCCAACCGCTTCCCCTCGGCCCTGTCTCTGTGGCACTGTGCAGAGTGTGGGTACACTGCTAGGAGCTGGAGGGATTTGCTTTCCTTAGTCCCTGTGCTACTCCCAGAAGGAATTTTATCACTTTTAATTCCCACGTTCTTGCTTGCCCCCAGGGAATGGTTTCTTTTAGCAGTCCAATGCTCTGAGCTGATGGGTGAATTCTGCCATCTCCTCCTATATCTCCAAGGGGTGCAGACAGGTTGCACCGGGTTGTACTCACAACTGCTGTTTTTCTTGCTATGGGACTGAGGGAGAACTCTCTGCCTCCATCCTCCCTGGGTGCCCAGGAGAAGAGGTAACCAAAGGGCCTGGGGACACTTCCAAGGTCTGGTAACCTCCAGGCATTTTTTGGTGTGAAAAGTCAGCCTTCTAGCAGTTTAAGAAGTGTTTATCCTTTGAGCAAAATCCTAGTTACAATAACAGTCATTTTTATGTCTCCTGCCTTCTCTTTTAATGAGACTGAAATTTACTACAGAAACTGTTGCTTTTTTCCAGGCAGCAGCAAGAGTCAGTCCATATGTCTGCAATACCCAAGATAGCACTTGTTTTAACTCTGATGATTTATGCCTGGTTTTAAAGCCATCAAGTTCTCTTCTACACCAGGATAGAAATGAAAGCCATTAATCCTGTAGGCTCACTCTCCCTCTTGCTCAAGCATGTCATTGTAGTGATTGTAAACAAATACATTGCTGCCTCTGCCTTTCTAAAGTGCTGGTGTGCTCAGTTCACAGGTTGATTACCTACATCTTCGTCTACGAAGACCTGATATCCCTGATCTGTGGTGCCATTATCATCTGGTACTTTGCTGGCAGCTTTGAGAAGAACGTGGGCACTGTGAAGCACTGCTTCCTCACCCTCGCCTTTGCTGTCCTCTCTGCCCTCCTCTACCTCTTACTTGAGCCCGTTGTCTCGAGGGTGTCAGAAGTGGAAGATGCCAAAGGATTCATGCCAGTAGCTTTTGCTACTCTGGGTGTCTCCACCACCCGCTCACGGATGAAGAGGACTCTTTTTTTTGGGGTTAGAGTCCCAGTGGTGCTGGTGCCCTGGTTTATGCTCTGCATTGCATGGTTTATCCCTCACTCTTCTCTCTTGAGTAACCTCTGTGGGCTTTTAGCTGGGGAAGTCTGTATCCTTTTCAAGTGTGAAGCCCTGAACCAGAGTGGGATTGCTGGCTGTCGAAGGGGAGGACATACTGCAGTTCTTACTGCCAAGATGCACTGGCTTTATGGTGTTTCCTGGGCTGTTGCTCTGCATTCGACTGTCACTGGCTTTGCTGGTCCTCATCCCACCCAGTTCTGCATTTGGTTTTTACCTCATGGTTCCATTTCCCTGTGGCTTTAGTGCGTGCAGAGAATGCAGAGCAGAGAAGGCTCTGGGTAGAACTGGGAGGATTCTCTAAGGGAAGGTGGTCTGTGGCCAGAGGGGGATTGCATGTGACTGTGTAAGGAATGAGTGGGCTTTGTCTGTGGTCCTCCTTGACGTGCTGCTCACTTCAGATGGTCTTGGCTACTGTTTCTGCTTGGATTTTCCAGAGTCGCTGGGCTCTAAGCTGGACCGGGTGTTCCCTTTCAGCCTGCTAAAGAGGATCCCAGGGCTGAAATACATCCCAGGGTCCTCAGCAGAGAGAAGAGCCTTGGAAAGCAGCAAGTAAGTACAGGAGTTCGTGTGAAAGATCTTATGATAGAGGGGAAATTTGAAGCCTAAGTAGAGGCATTAAGTTGCCTTTAAGAGCTGTACTGTGCTTGTTGTGTTCATATCCTAGGCGTTAGGAGGAACATACTGATGTTACACTGATGACATTACTGTGACAAATACATCATCACTCATTAACTCAACCAGGTCTTTCAGTGAAAGCTAAATTGATGTGAACAACCTCTCATTTGCTGCGAGGGCAGAGTGTACACATGCAAAGGTATTGCAGCTGGGCTGACATGAAAGTTAGCTTGTGCAGTTCTGCCCCAACACTAGTATTTACAGGGGTTGTTCTGCGCTGTATGGCTCCCTCGGGCATGATCTTTATCTTTCTTTGCCCCACCTCTCCTCCCAGGAATGTTGTGGGGTGAGTTGTGTCCAAATCTACACAAGAGCAGAGCATTATAAATTAAAGATGTCATGAAGTTCAGTGTAAACTTCTCAATGCGTGATTTCGGTGTCAAGGCAAGATTGCTTTACCGAAAAGAAACCTTGGGGCCTGTGGCTGATGTTCAGGAATGGTTTTGAGTTTGGGTATGTCACAAGCCACTTGTAGTCTAAAAGAGGTTGGAAATGTAGGTCATTTTTTTCCCCTATTCTGTGATTTCAGTTTGCTGTTAAAGGTTAAATTCTACGTATTGTTGAAGCCATCAGCTCACTGTAAACCTTTGTGATGGAAACATTCCCAAGTGTTTGCATCTGCCCTTACCTGTAGGGGAACCATAAAGCAAACCCTTGCCTGCAGCAGGAGGGCCCCCTAGATCCACTGGGGCACTCAGACATGTGAGTGCTTGCAGGGGAGGCCAGGCAGATCCAGCAGCATTTGTGGCGTTACTCTCTCCCTTCTGTGCAAGGGCTGCTTTTGGGAGGAGGGACTGTGTCCCTGCTGTGCCTGTGCCTGCATCAGTCTCGAGCTCCAGGTGGTGGCTGTGCACACAGCACCTCAGCCCTGTGTCTAAACCTGCTTTCTTCAGGTGAGATGACATAAATAGACTGTTCTGCCTCAAAGGTATTTACATAAACATTTACATTCAAGCAGGGTGTGGGAAGGTGTTTCTAGGATCTTTCCATTTCTGCAGCTGAATTTGCATGTCTCTCTGTCATAGATGCAAGTTCTATATGTGCATCTGGGGCTTAATTTTTATTAGTTTGATTCTTATTCCCAAGCAAAAGCTCTTGATGGCTTTTTCTCTTTAAATTTTCATAAAACTTCAGGCATCAACTTGCCACCAGACAGGAGACACTTCCAGGAGGTCCAGGCTTTGGCATCACATTTGTGTCCACACATAAAAGTAACCCCAAACCAAACCCACACCTCATAGAGAATAAAACCCAAGCCCCAAACCCCCATCATGAGCCACTCTTTTATCCTTGCTGGGAATCTGGCAGTCATGTTCTTCATGAATATTGTCTTGATTCTGTGCTCAGCGTTGAGCGTGGGCTGAGCAGTACTCCTGAAGTCCCAGAGGCTTTGGCTTCCAGGCAGCTTGCCTCTCTCTTGATACTTCCATCGGCATGAGTCATGCCTGCTGCTGGCAAAGGCTGTTTCTAGGCCTTGCTTCTGAATGATTAATTTTACTTGTAACTCTCTCTTCCTTCCCTTTTCACTCTATACCCTGGGCTCTTACTCACACCAAAGGCCTTTATGGCTTCTTGATAAATAACACTTGGCAGCTGTGGCTTCTCCTGATTAATAACTGAGCAGATGTGTTGTTCAGTGGAAGGCAGAGAGGATGTGCATGGTAATCTTCGAGCACATTGCAGGTTGGCTTGAGTATTCCTTGCACAAAGAGACCAAGAACCACGCTCCTTCAGTGGGTGTGGAATTGGTGTGGGTTGGAAGTGGGAGGCCAGTAAACCTGTTTTTACGTGAGTGCTGCTTATAATTAGAGCTTCTCCTGTAATGAATCCCTCTGATGGATTGCAGTGACCTTTCTAAGCACTGGTCAGGAGGAAATCTACCCTCGGGGCAATTCCATTGCGAGGCAATGCCAGTTCTGAACACACTGTAACCTTCTGTTTTCTTCCTGCCCAGGATTAACCCTTCACCAGGCACTTACCCCACCCAAACCTACTACTGCTCTTCGCCTCCGGCTCTTCCTGCTTTCCAGATGCAGCATCCCAGTGTTCAGAGCCAGGGATTTCAACACAGCTGTGCTCCAGGATATGGTGAGGGACCTCAGCACAGCCACGCTGCAGGACACAACGTCGTGTCTTCCTCCTACCAAGCCAGAGGTGCCTTTGGAGGGTGTTACGTGCAGGCCCAGGCTGGAGCCTCACCTGGACAGTGCTGCCAGTCCTCCCCTTCACAACACACATGCCTGACTGACCCACAGACACCTGCAGGCCTGGTGCCCCCGGCTGGTGTTCAGCAAGCACTGGGGTATCCAGCAGCCACAGGGGCTCCTGTTCTCCCTGAACTTTCAAGAGTCCAGGTGTACTGATCCTGCAGAAAGCAGCAGGACTCCCATACCATGCAGGACCATCGTGCAGCAGCGCGTTGCTGGTATCTTTGCCGTCTCTGGGGTGACTGTGGAATGGGCTGGTAGGTCCAGTGTAGACCATTCCCCTGCTCCCTGGCACAAGAGGCTTTATTGTATTTCCTTAATCATTATGATTTTTTAAACTTTTTTAACTTTTTTATATTGCTGAGGGCTGGGACTCTCACCTCTGTGCTCCTCATCCTTTTGGAGTCTCTTTTTCATTGCTGTATTTAGCAGCTGCCTTTTTCCATACTTCCACTAGAGCTGTAGTGTATCAGCTCCCTGACTCAAGCTGGGAACCTAATTGTCAAAACACTGGACTAATCCGGGCTTTAACTAGACTGCAGTGATAAGGGTGTGCCCCATCTCACGTTCGTGCTCAATGCGACGGGCTCGA